TCATTGATTAATGATAAAATTGGTTAACGATGACAACCGACGTGATACTTATTTGAGTTTGTAGAAATTTTGAGAAAGAATTAGCCATCACCTCCGAGAGGAAGAGTTGAAATTTCTAGGGAGGAATTATGAACTTTACTCTCCTCTACCTTTCTTCAACTAGAGGGTGAAATTGGAAAATATTAAAACATAAGCGATTATTACATTACCTTCACATTATTTATACAGTATTATTTTTCTTTAAACCGCTCTTTACAAAAATAGCTTTCTAAAGTACTGTTTGAAGTAATTTTAGTCGTTATACATGAAAGTGATTCTACCGATGTCAAATTACCACAAGACCAAATATTTTTCCTTACTCCTCGAAATGTTATGTTTGTTGAGTTTGGTTTGGGTTGGTTTGATTGTTTTGTAGTGGTAAGCCGAAGGTGGAACAATGTCTAGTCCGGTGGGCCAGCCCACAACTCCACGACATCGACGCATTGGAAAAAATGGTGGACCCCGCATTGCGTGGGTTGTATCCCCCAAAGTCAGTTTCAAGGTTCGCAGATATTATAGCCCTTTGTGTCCAATCAGAGCCGGAGTTTCGGCCTCCAATGTCGGAGGTGGTTCAAGCCTTGGTAACGCTGGTCCAACGGTCCAGTATGAATGTCAGAGATGACCTTGGAACCTCTCGACGAATGGATGATTACGACTACTAATAAAATTACTTTACGTTTTCTTTTTTCGACAACTACACACATTCCAATCATTCACTTTCTCATTCGCATTCTATATTTCATTCATCAATACAAACAACATTCGTCATTAGAATTATATTAGTCATTGTATCGTCTTTTCATTTCCCCTTCCTAGTCGAGAGTTCTCAACTTTTTTCGTATCTATATCCAAATATTATATTTTGTGTAGGCTTAGACTCAATCTTATGTATTACGTCGAGTTTAATTCTCTAGTGCAGTCATCTTCTAATTGTTAGTCATTTTTGTTCTATGTGCTACTATCATCTTCATATGTTGTTAGCCCACCATCTTTTTTCAACCAAATTATTTCTTCAATTTATATATATTTGAAGTTATCTACCTTTAATTATTCCTATGCAATGACCATTGTAATGGTATGGAGTGTTACATAATCGATAAGTAATTTAAGAAGAACAAGGAGCGACCAGTCCGATCGGAATTGGTAAACAACGTGAAGCTGCAGCTGCAGCTCGAGCAATTTAAGAAGGAACGGAAGGAGAAGATCAAGAACGACCTGAAAAAAGCCCAAGGTAAGCCGGTGTCAGAAGATGACGAGCCATAAGAGCCACCCTTCAGCAGACGATCTTGACTGGCCCAATCTCATCCAAGGACAACCACCCCAACATTAAAAAGTATGACAAGTCCATTGACCTTGTGCACCGCTGACGTAACAGATTTCCAGGCATACTGTGATACAATGAAGTGTAGGGCGTTCTCCATCATGTTGCAAGGCTCGGCCTGGAAGTGGCACCGGCACCTCCTCCCCCACTCCATATTTTCCTGGAAGTAGCTCCGCGACGCCTTCACTACTCAATTTGGTGCTCAGAAGGAGGCGCAACACTCAGCAAGATATCTTCTCACCATCCAGTAAGGGAAAAGTAAGAGCCTCAGAGACTACGTTTGGAGGTTTCTCACAAAGCTATGCAACGAAGAGTTCGCATGCTCGACATTCGCTTCAGGTGTCAAACACGATAAACTAAGTGGTCACTAGCCAAGAAGCCTCAGCTCACGATCAAAGTCAGCATCGAATGAGCTAGAAACTTCATGCAAGCAAGCTCATAAAGTTGCAAGAAGATAAGCCACCTTGAAGCAGCTTGCCGAGGGATAGGTGGAGCCGCGACAAGGCAGAAAGGACGTCATCTAGATCGTAGCATAGTGGCATCCATCGCTCGAGTTGAAGACTGACCTGAAAGGTTCGAACGATTCACTCCTCTGAATGTCCCTATGCCTAAAATCATTGCCAATATACAAGATTCCAAGTTCTACCTTCTCACTGAGCCAAGCTCGATGCACTGAGATCCCGATAAACGCAATAGGTCAAAATATTGCCATTTCCACAAGGACCACAGGTATGGCACATCTGACTGGTCCGACCTGAAAAGGCATATCAAATATCTCATTTAGAAGGGCTATTTAAAAAAGCACGTCAAGCGAGCCCCCGGAGCTAGTGGCGTGGGTGGGAGCTCAAAGCACGATAGTTGTTAGGGTTGACTTTTTACTGCAGAAACATGTGTCGGTAGTCCTGTTTGACCACGTTTTTTACCCCTTTCCCATTATTATTTGCTAAAAAATACCACATATTCTTAAAGTAGAACATGCATAGATTATTTCTGCATAAAAGTCAAACTATGGTACTTTAGGAAAAATATGAGATAAATGCAGTCAAAGTTGGAAGAAAATAACAGAATTTTGTTTTTGTAGAATTGCGCCTGGCGCATTTTCGGAGGACAAAATTTCATTTTGATTAATGAAGGGCAAGAAGGACATTTCCCACATGTTCAAAACCGTGAGTCCAAGTCCTGGGGTGGTCAGGTGAATCTCAACTCTTTTCCACCTAAAATGGAGGGGAGTTTCAACCAACCTATGGTGCTATAAAAAGAAGTCATCCCTCTATCAGCAAATCATCCTTTCCAAGCTTCATTTCATCTTCTTTTAGTTTCTCTCTAGTTGAAGAACATGTTTTTAGGGTTTACGTTTATGTTCTAGTTGTTCATGTATTTGTTTTTCACGCTTTCACCTTTTGTATTGCTTTGAATTCAAGTTCTTACTTCCGTTCTTTGTTCATTCTGTTCTTTTAAAGTTCTTTAGCGAGTTTCAACTCCCCTCACGCTCGAGAGAGAAGAGGGTTAAGCTAGAACTCCTTGTACGACTTATTTATTCATTTAAATTCAATGAAAAATACTTTTTTTTTTATGTTTTCGTGCATTTACTTTCATTTAATTATGTTCTAAATTAGTTATCAACCTCCTTGTGGAATGCCTTAGTCAAATGATTTGATTTTCAACACACTCGGGATTTTGGCCAAATTCCGCTTGACACTTTTTTGGATTGGTTTCTAAAAACTTCTGTTTACATCTTTTTTCTATTTGGCCAGTGGAAACTTGATTTATACACTAAAGCCCAACCTTGGGAAAGATGAGTCAGGTAAAATAATAGGAAACCGATATGGGATGTGACTTAGGAATAAGGACATAAAATATGGTTTTAGGCATAGGCCCTCTGACCCATAGTGTAAATGAGTTGGTAGATATTCTCTAAGATTGTAATCACACATAGGAATATGATTGTAGGTTACCCTAGCCTCTGCAACAACCAAAAGCGGCAGTGAAAGAGTAGAACTCAAATCCCAAGAAAAGCCAATAATTGCGCCTGGTGCTTTTTCCCAACATAGTGTGTTTTCCATGTTTTGCATCAAAACTAAGGTAGGAGACAAGGAGGTTGAGTTTTATAAATTGCTTGTTAGTTAAAACCCAAACAACAACATTTCACCACTATTTTCTTCCTAAATCACAATTGCATATTTGAACCGTTCACTTCTTAAAAACTGTTTTGAAAAGCAACAAGTCCCTGAGGATTTGACCTTGGATTACTTCCGAGTATTACTTGTGACCGTGTGCCCTTACACGAGTCTCTGATCTTTTTGAAGGTAGAGAAAGTCTCAACAAGAGTCGAAAGGGAACGATCTCAATCTCCTCCCAAGCGTACAAATTGGTCCATCATTATCAACATGATTTTCAAAGGATCGAGCGAGGGCCAAATTGGAACAAGTGGAAGGTGCTAATCCGGAAGCTTGCTATGAAGTGTGCGTCAATTACCTGTATATTGTCCTACACTGAATTACATTCTAAGACAAAGACCTTGAGGGCATCTATGCCCCTCACAATAACGCTCTGGTCATTGTGTCTTAGATCGACCATGTCAAAGCTAGGCGAGTGTTGGTAGATGGAGGAGCCTCATCAAACATTTTATCTTTCTCTTTTTACGTGGCTTTGGGTTGGGAGCGATTGGTGGGTTTTACTAGTCAACCAGTAACCCAAGAAGAATGTATAGATCTCTCGATTACTTTGGGGGAGGGTGAGTTTCAAGTCATTAAGGTGGCGGAGTTTGTGGTGGTTGAAGCTAAGTCAGTGTACAACATGATCTTTGGTCGACCTATCATTCACGACTTGCAGGTTGTACCTTCAACGCTGCATTAGGCCCTGATCTTTACAACTCCTAATGGAATATGTTGGGACTTTCTCTACCTTTAAAGATAAGAGACACGTGCAAGTGTACACGGTCACAAGTAATACTTGGGAGTAATCCAAGATCGAATCCTTAGGGACTTGTGCTTTAGTTTTAAAGAAGTGAATGATTCAAAATGCAATTGTGGTTTATAAAGAAAATGGTGATGAAATGTTGTTGTTTAGGGATTCAAATATCAAGCAGTTTAATAAAACACAACCTCTCTACTTCTTATCGTAGTTTTGATGGAAAACATGGAAGATACATGCTTTGGGAAAAATGCACCAGTCACTATTTAGCTAAATCTTGGGAATATGAGTTCTACTATTTCACGAACCACTTTTGGTTGCTACAGAGGTTAGGATAACCTACAATCATATTTCTATGTGTAATTACAATCCCAGAAAGTAATTATCAACTCATTTTCATTTATGGTCAGAGGGCCTATGTCTAGGACCGTGTTTTATGTGCTTATGTCTAAGTCACATCCCATATTGGTTTCCTATTATTTTACCTAACCCACCCTTCTCAGAGTTGGGCTTTAGTGCATAAATCAATTTTCCAGTGGCCAAATGGAAAAAAGACATAAAGATAATTTTTTAGAAACCAACTCAAGATTGCGTCAGGCGCAATCCAGTCAAATCCCGAGCATGTTCGAAAATCAAATCATTTGACTAAGACATTCCATAGAGAAGTTGATAAATAACTTCGTGCATAATTAATGGAAAGAAAACACACAAAACATAAAACAAGTAATTTCCATTGAATTCAAATGAAAAATAACGTTGTACAAGGAGTTCTAGCTTAACCATCTTATCTATCGAGCGTGAGGGGAGTGTAAACTCGCTTTAGAACTTTACAAGAACAAAATAGATGAAGAATGGAAGTACAAACTCGAATTAAAGGTACTATGATAAGTAAAATAGTGAAAATACAAGAAATGAACAACTAAAACGTAACTCTAAAGCTTATGAACGAATTATCTAGCTAAGAACGGAAGAAAAGAAGATGAAAATGGGAAGAGAATGGATGATTTGCTGCCGGGGGAGAGACTCCCTTTTATAGGCCCTCAAGATGGTTGGATTTCTCACCATTTTATGTGGAGATGGGTTGAGATTCTCTCAACAAACATTCCTTGACTTGAACTCACAGTTTTGGGTTGATTCAAACATGTTGGAAATGACTTCTTGCCTTTCATTAAGTAAAACACACGTTTTTAAGAAATATTGACGAAAAAAGCGCAACGCTTTTTTCCTACAAACATAATTCTATTATTCTCTTCCAACGTTGACTGCACTTTTCTCACGTTTTTCCGAAAGTACCATATATTGCAAATTATCCAGAAATGTTTTATCCATGTTCTACTTTAAAAATATGTTAACCTTTTTAGCTAATAATAATAGGAAAGGGTTCATTTTTATGGTCAAACAGGCCTACTGACACACATTTCTACAGTAAAAAGTCAACCCTAACACACCCCAAAACTTAGCCATTTGCTTGTCCTCGAGCAAAAACAACAACAACAAATCCAATACAATCAACATTCTAGAAAGAAGAATGAGCAACAATCCAAACATTCTAAGTAAATGAATCATATTCGCTAAGGAAGGATTCTACAAGTTAAACCTCCTAACTTTA